CTCACATTTGGATGACAAAACAGACTGAAATATGAACGAAAAGGGAACTTTTAAAAATATTCGTTTGTAGATCAGGCCTGTTCCAATGCAGACCAAAGATCCGTCCTTGGTGTCCTCTGAGCAGACCTCCTCCCCCAGGTTTGCTGCGTCTCCTGGAGAAAACTGAAACAGTTTTTCCTTTACTGCTGTGCTGCAGGTCCGTCAGCTGGAGAGGACAGTAAGCCTGAGGGACCTGTCCATCGTGGAGATGGAGGGGAAGATGAGGGAGATGTCTGCAGCTACCTACGATGGCATCTTTATCTGGAAGATCTCTGATTTCACCAAGAAGAGGCAGGACGCCGTGGCGGGCCGTGCTCCTGCCATGTTCTCTCCTGGTACGCATGGAGAAGCTGTCGTCGTATGTTTCTAGCTGGCAAAAACTAAACTCTAGATGCTTGTTGGATCATTGTTGTTTTCCAGCGTTTTATACGAGTAAATACGGCTATAAGATGTGTTTACGGATCTACCTGAACGGCGACGGAACAGGCCGGGGGACGCACCTGTCTCTGTTCTTTGTGGTGATGAGAGGACACAGCGACGCTCTCCTTAAGTGGCCTTTCAACCAAAAGGTAACGTCAGTACATCAGTCTGATCTGACCTAATCTCCGCCGCCTCCTCGGCTCCGTCTCCTTTATGTCGGTGTGCCGCCTCTAGTTTTTGTTTTGTTTTAGAAGTTCATTCAACTCCTTAGGTTATAAAATGGATGTAAATGAAGGAACTGCTGCTGAATCTGCTGGTTCAGCTGTAAGATGGCAGCAATATGGCCTGATGAAGGTTGATGACAGCCATTCCTCTGCCTCACAGTACTAACAGAAACTTTCAGCCTCTCTCCAGCTGCACCGGGACCTGATGTAGATACTGTTTGACCTGCAGTGTCACTGCTGCTGGAGCTCTGAGGTGGTTTGATGGTTATAGTCTCTGCTGTGGTCACACCATCCGTCACACAGGAAGTGGCTCCTGCTGACGCTGCTACCTTCTGTTTGCAGGTGACTCTCATGCTGCTGGACCAGAACAACCGGGAACACATAATCGATGCTTTCCGGCCCGACGTCTCGTCCTCGTCCTTCCAGAGACCCGTCAGTGACATGAACATCGCCAGCGGCTGTCCACTCTTCTGTCCTCTGTCCAAGCTGGACTCTAAAAACTCCTATATACGTGATGACACCATCTTTATTAAGGCCATCGTAGACCTCACTGGGCTCTAGAGAAAACAACCTGGCAGCAGAAAAATCACTTTTTGTTCAAACTAAACCGGCTGCTGGTGATCAGTAGCTGCTGTTTCTCTGCCGTCTTTGGGATCCATTGTTTACAGTATGCAAGATAGCAGTTTTCTTTCTTTGTTGAAAGTTTGTTCAGTCGTCAGATCAGCTTTTATGCATCAAACTGTGACTATTCACCAAAGTGACTGGAGAGGTGAACAAACCTTAAACAGCGTTTTTACTAACCAATGCATTCCAACAACTTTGTAGCATAATTTGTGTGAAACCTCAGAGCTGTGACTGTCTTTGGTCTCTATGCCCAGCATCCCAGCTTCTGGTGCTATAGAAGGGGTTTGAAAGTCTCCCTGTAGCCACTAGATGTTTTTACAAGATAAACCCCAGAAAGGTTTAACCTACTAACCACTGTAGTAACTAACAGACCTGCGAGTCCCTTCAAATAACCAGCTTCTTTACTGACACTTTCTCTGTCGTCTGGGATTCTTCCACCATTTAGCTGCAAGCTTTGATATTTTTCATCTTTTTCAACGGTTTCCTTCTATGGTAACCAGCTGGTTCTATTTCATCCCTACTGACCACCAGAGGGCGGTGCTGAAAGCACTGAATGTTCCCTTCAGGCATGCGCAGTTCGAGTAATTATCCCAACAGAGTCACACCTGTGATGCCGGATGACCAATCAGAAGCTATATAACCTGGTGTCATCCATGGCTCTGTTCCCTTTTTCGTCTCGCAAGCAGTACGCTAGCTTCCCCGTTGTTTGATGCCCCCGTCTCTTGCTGACTGGAGGTTTTTCTTCTCCCTCCCAGGGCTGCCACAGATCGATTCTAGTAGAAGATTACGGAAGGTAAGTTTGTTTGTTTGCTGGCGACGGTAGCGTCCGTGCCCCCTCTCCCAGCTCACGACTTCTTGTTACCATTTTACCTACAACTTGGTGCTGTTTTGGTTGACAACTGGTGATAACAGCGATTTCACCCCCTCTCCCAATATCAACCCTACTTTTGCAGCTGTAATAATTGGTCATGGTAGCGGTTTTCTCCCCCTCTCCCAAGTGTGATCAACTTTGCTTGCCGAAGTTTGGATAAGGCTAACGTTGTTAGCTTTTTTGGTTTGTTGGTTTTATACCTGGTGACGGTAGCGTTTTTCGCCCCTACTCCCAACTTACATTACCAAAGTTTGGATACGGCTAATGCTAGCTTTTTTTGGTTGGTTGGTTTTATACCTGGTGATGGTAGCGGTTTTCGGCCCCTCCCCCAGTATCAGCTTGCTTGTGCTTTGAGCCTCTTTTATTTCCCTGCTGTAACTGGTGGTGGCTGCGTTTGCGCCCCCTCTCCCGATTTTAGACATTTTGTTTCTTTTTCGGGCCGAGCCCTGTCGACCTTTAACATGGATGGCTCCCACAGCTGCATGGATTGTGGGGCTGCCCTGCAGGCAGAGGTAGGCCACGACTTTTGCCCTACCTGCCTTGGACATGAGCACCTTTTGAAAGAGCTATCTGAGAATTATTTATGCCACATGCAGTGAGGGTGGCTCGGTTGGCCCAGTCGTGCCCCCAGGAGGGCTCAGACCTTCTGCCCTGTGGGCAGGTAGTTCCCCCAAGCGTTCTAAGCAATGTGGTTGGACCACGGCATCCAAGCCCCTCCTCCGAGGAATGGCCAAACTTGAAAGGAAGTCCTTGTTACAGACACATTAATCTGTTGGCTCGCTTCCGGTGGCTAGGTTCTCTTCCCCACCCATGCCCAAACTGGTTGTGGAGGATGATGTCAAATATCTAGCTGCTTCTGCTTCTCATTTTAGAGATGAGGAGACGGCTAGGTCCTCTCAGGTCTCTGAGACTGGTTCATTTTCATCTCAGATTGTGGTTGGAGGGGCCGGTGACAGTTCTATGTGGGAGGTTATGTCCATGGCCCTAAGCAGCTGCAGCTGGAACTCCCACAGGTCGAGGTATCCAACTCCAGGGGTGCTTTTTTTCAGGTGTGGAAGGGCTCCTACTCCCTTTTCTGTACCTCCATCAGAGGAGTACCTGAAGGAGTTGCACACATGTTGGCAGGAACCGAGAGCATTGTCACGTCTCTCCTCAGATGGTCGCATGTTAGTTGCCAGGTGAAGGCCGGCCTGGACCGTTTGCCAGCAACTGATTGTGTCACCAGATGAAGCCCTGCTTCCTGATATCCTGTGCCCGCGGACTCGATGTCAGGCTACAGATGACCTCTTGTGTAAGGTGTACAATGCACCTGAGCGTGTGCTGGCCAACTTGGCAACTCTCTGGCACACCTCATGTTCGCCCTCTCTGCATCTGTTCCGGATGCTGGTGGTGCAAGTGTGGCAACTGATGCAGTGATGCAGCGCTGCAGGCCTTTGCCCTTATGAGTAGAGAGCTTGGCCGGGTCATGTCTTTCCTTGTCCAAGCTAGTAGACAGGTCTGGCTGGCACAGTCTCCTCTGACCAAAGCATGCCATAGGACCCTCAGGAATGTCCCGGTCTTACCAGGGGAGCTGTTTTGATCATCTGTCTTGGAAGCGCTGGAGCGGACTGTTCAGGCACATCAGACTAGCCAGCAGCTTTCTGGCATCAGAGACCAAGCAGGGACTTTCGTGAACCAGTCTGCCACTCAGTTAGACAGACCCGGGCCTCAGATCCTGGACGCCCTTCCCCCAGGGTCCGGGGGGATAGAAGATGATGCCACCGGGCCAGCCGTCTGACGTTTTTCCCATCAGCAGCTGATTTCCTGGGCTGTTGTTACTGTAGATCCATGGGTGGACTTAACTTAACCAAGGGCTACAGTCTCCAGTTCCGACAGTGGCCCCACGTCTCACTCTGGGTCAAAATGACTATCACAGACCCGTTGAAATCTCAGGTAATAGACCTGGAGCTTTCCTCCCCCCTGGGCAAGGGGGGAATCGATTCTGTAAATCTCCTGCGGCAACCCAGAGGCTACTACTCTACATACTTCCTTGTGGCAAAAAAGATAGGCGGTTTTCGCCCTGTCTTAGACCTAAGGGAACTCAATTCTTACCTGAAAGTCCTTCTCTTTCACATGCTCACCATAGGAGATGTCCTTCAAACCATTGTGGCGGGGGATTGGTCTACATCAATAGATCTGACAGACGCCTACTTTCATGTGCCAATTGTGTCAAAACATCGTTTTCTCGTGTTTGCCTATTGGGTTCGCCATTGGCAATTCCCAGTGTTCCATTCAGGCTCTCCCTTTCCCCGAGGGTTTTTACTCGATGCCTGAATCGGCCCTCTTTAATCTGGGCTTCATTTTGGCAAAGAGTTGTCCGGTTTCATATGAGACAACCACCTTTCTTGGGATGCATCTGCACTCCACGACTACGAGGGCCCATCCATCTGTTCACAGGGTGGATGACATACCCCAGCTTGTCCGTCAATTCAGGCTGGGCAGTGAGTTTCCCTACGTCATCTTCCTGTGAATGCCAGGGAAACTGACATCAGTCACTGGTGTTGTGCCCTTAGGTTTGCTCCTTCTTCATCGTTTGCAGCGATGGCTCAATAGCTTTCGCTTGGACACCGGGCTGCACAGGCTTCGTAGGTGATTGTGATGAGGAGGTGCCTTCGTGCCCTAGCTCTTTGGCGAGACAGGACCCTTTTGTGCAGTGGTGTTCCAATGGGGGTGGTGGTGTGTCGAAGGGAAGTGGTCACCACGGATGCCAGCCCCAAAGGCTGGGGTGCCGTGTGCCAACACAGAGCTGTCCGGCGTCTCTGGGAACAATGAAGCACATAAACATGCTGGAGTTGCGCGCTGTGCACATGGCCCTCAGGCATTTTCTGCCCTACCTAGAAGGAAAGGCATGTGTTGGTTCGGACGGACAACACCTCTGTTGTATACCATATAAACCACCAAGGAGGAACCAGGTCGGCACGTCTAGAAGGTGTCGAGAGATCTCCTGGAATTGGTGTTTCCCCATCTGCTCACGCAGCATATCTGCCAGGACGGAAGAACCGGGTTGCAGGCTGGCAGAGATAGATCTGTTCGCCTCAGAGGAGTGAGGATGCGCTGGTTCATCCATGGCCACAGGTTCTCCTGTATGCCTTTCCACGCCTCTTGCTGATTTGGCCGACTCTATGGAGGGTTCTCGAGTAAGGCCATAGAGTGTTGCTGGTATCTCTGTTCTAGCCAGTGTGGCCGGGGTTCCCGCTGCGCTGAAGTCTGTGTTGTGGTACTGCATGGCGTCTTCCAGCAAAGAGGGATCTGCTGTCTAAGTTGGGGGGACAGATATGGTACCCCAACCCTCAACGTCTCCAGTTGTGTGCATGGCCCCTGGGAGGCTGACTGGGTGTTCGGACACTGTCAGACACACCATATGTAGTGCTAGGGCGCCCTCCACTCGGCTGCAGTATGATAACAGATGGCGTCTCCTTTCTCAGTGGTGCTCTGCCAGCAATGAGAACCCGGTTTCCTGCTCGGTACCCACTATCCTGGAATTCCTCCAGTCTCTTCTTCATAAGGGCCGCTCTCCTTCGACCCTTAAGGTGTATGTTGTAGCAATCTCATGTCATCACCTATCTGTCGACGACTGTACAGTGGGTTGCCATGAATTGGTTTCTCTTATTCTGCGTGGTGCTCGTAGGTTTTGCCTGCAGCCGGTTCCACGTGTGCCAGGTTGAGATCTGCTGTTGGTTCTCACAGCTCTGTGCCACCCTCCGTTTGAGCCTTTGGCACAAGCAGACCTCAAGTGGCTTTCCTGCAAGACTGCTTTCCTGATGGCTATCGTCTCAGTTAAGAGGGTAAGTGAGCTACATGCTCTCTCTGTCAGCCCTATGTGTATTAGGTGGGCTCCAGATGGCTCTGGTGTTACCCTCTGAGCTAATATTGCATTTGCGCCTAAGGTGTTGTCTCCTTTTCACCATAACCAGCCATTTCGGCTGGCTCGGTTTCAGCCTCAGCCAGGTGTAACTGAGGATGGGTCTGAGTGATTGTGTGCAGTAAGAGCATCGGAGGCATACATTGCAGCCACCGTCAATCTAATACGCTCTGAACAGCTTTTCCTATGTTATGGGAGTCATAGGTTAGGCTATCCTCTTTCTAAACAGCGTCTGTCCCATTGGATTTTGAATGTCATCTGCCATGCCTACGCTGCAGGTCACTGCTCCCTGCCAGTCAGTGTGAGGGCACATTCCACCAGGAGCATCTCCGCTTCCTGGGTGGCTTTGAGAGGGGTCCTGCTAGAAGCAATATATGCCTCTGCTTAATGGGCTTCCCGACAACCTTCACGAGGTTCTACATTGTCAATGTGGCTGCCCCTCATTCACTGGGTCAGGCCCTTTTACAAGGTTCTGCTGGGCCTCCTCAGTGAGGTATGTGCTCAGCATTCCTTATGACATTGTTGGCATTAGTCATTCAGTTCTTTCAGCCCCGCACTCTGGCACTCAGTAGGGATGAAATAAAACGAAAGTTACGTATGCAACTACAGTTCTATGAATCCCGGATGACCGCCAGAGCTTCTCTGTCACTCAGCTTCTGAGCGGTCATCCGGCGTTACAGGTTAGACTCTGTTGGAATAATTACTCGAACTGTGCTTGCCGAAGGGAACATTCAGTGCTTTCAGCACCGCTCTCTGGTGGTCAGAGGGGATTCATAGAACCATAGTTACATACGTACATTTCGTCTGTGATTACTTAACTAGCAGTTTAATTTGAGTCAAACAAATCATGAATATCCTCTGCAAAAACTAAAATAAGAGTATTTTGCCTTGATTTTAGAAGGTAAGAAAAATTATTTACCAGTTAAGTAGATGATTGCTGTTTAAAAGGAGAAAGACATCTCCATGATCCTTTGTTCAGTGCATAACTAATTGTTTTATTTGTCTACTCAATAACAAATACACTTAAGACATATTTACTTTAGTTTTTGCGGTTACACAGGTGATAAAATCTAGATCTAGTACTAGATGTCGTTTTTTATTTAATCATAAAGCACGTTTAATGAAAAATTAAGTTTGTTAACCATGATATTAGGGAAGCTCTGAGGCTCTATCCAAAAGTCTGCCTCTAAAAACACTAGGCAATTGGAAACTCATAAAATGCCGTAACCTGTATAAAGTGCCCCATGAAGGGATTAAGGTGGACATTCAGACACATCCTGAGTTTTATCCTCTGTTTCACAAAACAAGTTTACTGGCCTTTTCTCTGTTACTGTAGTAACATTCTCCCCGGAGCTAACCTGGTTAGCAGCAGGTTTTCCTCAATAAACTCTTGAGTGTGCTCTGACTTTGCCCTTCTTAAAGCTAGTCATGCCTTTTCATTTCCTGATTCCACCAGAAGAAATCAGGAGACCTGATCCATCCTCACATTTGCAGCATTACAGACTCCTTTAATACGGATTTAGTGATAACTAAAAAACAACTGCACAGTCGGACAGACACTCAGCATTTACTGTGTGATGAAGGACAGGATCAACATGAGGACGAACCCCAAGAGATGATGAGGAGGTCCTACCTGTGAGAACATTATCAGACCCGATCTTCACCTGCTGATAGGGGACTTCATCTAAATAGATCCATAGATCCACCATTCAACCAGCAAACTAGTTTCCCATGTAATGTCACAATGTCACTCGACTCCAAGTCAATCTACTCTGAGTTGATGAAACTAACACACAACAGCTGCTGTGAATCCAAAACCTCAGTCGTTAAGGATCTGACTCCCAGTTTGTTGAAACTACTTCATGAAACTGACACCAGCGTTGAAGCAGGGATTTAGTCTAATTTACCAGTCCAGAAAAAATACTGGACGACCGAAGCTCCAGCAGGTGCTGGTGGCCACAGACTAACTCACTGGATTTATGCACAGTTTGTAGTGAGTTAGGTGGCATATTGTCGGTAGCTGTAACCAGCCGCTGCCATCATGGCACCGCCATCTTTTTACCAGACAGTACTAGAGTATTTATTCAGATTTCGCTTCCTGTAGATATCCTTGATGCCAGAGAGCGGCGCCCCGGGGAAGCGCTGGGCAGTTTCCATCCCCCTCTGCAAGGCCTTCCGCTCCGAGGCAGAGCAGTTCCCAGACCAAACTATGGTTTGAAATTGAAATTGGGGCAGTTGGTGATGATGCTCTCTAAGGGTCCATCCATCCA